GGACCATCAGTGGGCTAGTACACATAAAAAAAGGGGAAAAAATATATATATGTCAATATTAATATTAGGTTTCATATTATGTCTTAATATAATGATTTAGTGGAAAAAATTATTAATTATACTTCACTTGATACCCACTTCTCTGCCTTAATTATTTGAAATTTTCGCAAGTCTATTTATTTATTAATTTGTCTAGTGATTGTTATTTAATATTAAAGATTTCTCAATCTAAAAAAAGGGTTTTGCTTCTAGCTTAGCTTATTGCTTATTTTATAATATAAATAATATTATATATATTATATATTGTACGTATTATATTATATATATTATATATTGTACGTATTATATTATATATATTATATATTGTACGTATTATATTATATATATTATATATTGTACGTATTATATTATATATATTATATATTGTACGTATTATATTATATATATTATATATTGTACGTATTATATTATATATATTATATATTGTACGTATTATATTATATATATTATATATTGTACGTATTATATTATATATATTATATATTGTACACATTATATATTGCCTGCTATTTTTGCTAAACTTTGGTAGGTTTTATTAAATTACAGAAATCAGGTTACTAAATTCTACTTCTTATATCCCTGCAAGGTATTATAAATTCAGTCGGAAGCTTCTTTCGATATGAAGGACTCATTTTTGACCCTATAAACCATATATATTCTTGATCAGCATCAAAAGGCGAATCTTTCTAGGCATCTCAGAAAAAACAATTTTTTTTTCTCATTTTTTTCAAAAATTTTTAAGGGGTTACATCGTTAAAATTTTCAAAAATTTAAAATTTTCAAAGTTTTAAACTGAGTACGCGTATTTAAAAACAGGATAAAAACTAGCATAGAACAGCTTTCCGAATTAAAATTAATGTATTTTTAGCTAAGTTATGAGTTTTTTAAAATTTGATTTATGGGGAAAAATAGTCATATGAAAATATCTAAAAATTCCGATTCAAAGAATATTAATAATTAAAATAGTTGTATTCCGATTTGTTTCTCTTACTCAATTTCTGTAACCTGCAAAAGTATATAGACTTTTGCTTCCCAAAGCTAGCTTTTATTCTTACTTTTCCCTAATATTTCTTGCCGTGCTGAAACTGGGAATGGGGACGGGACTGTGGATCCGACCATAGAGCCGGTGGACACTGCAGTAGTATGTAGTGGACCGACCACCCGACCTATGCAAATATGCAAACAAGAGTCGTAAACTAACAACAACAAATGGTCGCGAGAATGGGATGCTGTGTGGGGTCTGTTGCCTCTCTCCGTCCAAGTTAGTGGCGACCACACCGTGCTCCCCTTTTGTCCATAATACCCCTTCCCTCCCCGCCCGGAAAAAAAGTTTTCTACCCAAAAGGCAAAGTCAATTGGAATTTGTTTCGTTTGTGGCGACTGTCATTGAACTTTGGGGAAGCGATAGAGTATTGAGTGTGGGGGTCATTAGATGCCGCTCTCTATCTGCATTCTTATATACCAATATTCCATATACCATATATCATATATACCGTGTATTTTTGTATACACTTTTGTTCATAAATCAACGCTAACCAAGCGGGTCGACATGTACTCATTTGTGGAATGGAACCAACTCTAACCTCGTTTTAACCTTCCCCACATCGCATTTCATCCGGCATATTGCCTGGCTGCCTGGGTGCCTGGCTGCCCTTCGTGGTGCGTTGCACAGCTGACACTGGGGACGTGGTGCTGGGATCTCATCCGCCAGTGCCAGTGTCAGTAACCAGTGCCAGTATTGCTAGAGTTTAGTTTGGGTAAAGTGCCAATTACCTAAAAAGAAAATAAAAAACAACATCAACCAACAATAACAGCCGACAATAACAAAAAACCTTTTCGAGCCACGCAATGACTCATTCAGTCGAGCGTTGAAAAGGCCATTAAAGAGGCAACTCCATCACTCTTCGCTTCGTCTGTGCCAAGTTTCCAAAGTGATGACCAGTTGCAAGCCGGCTTTAGGCAGCGATGTTCACACATTGTCACAGTAACCAGGAATCGTTGAGGATCGGCTTGAAGCGTGGACAAGAGCTCCTTCAGGTTGTAAGTTCCAATGCAAGTGATTTAGAGAGACAATGGTTATACAAATTGTTAATTGCATTATCTTTGAAACTGGTATTACTTATACATATGTAATATTCAAGTTACTGTGTTCGTGATTTATTTATAGTTTCAAACTGCTTATTATACTTGGATAAATCACAACCTTTGTAAAAGATTTAACCACGGACAGTAATTGCGTTCTTTAAATGTTGTTGCTGTGACTAGTCTTGGGTGTAATTAATTTGTGACGCTTTTAAGAATTAATAATGTAGGGTTTCTTGTTAAATTGTAAGACTAACAGCTCAATTTAGCATATATTCAGGATATGCTTAGCATTTTTTATTCAGCATCTATTTAGTATTTATTCAGCATTTATTCAGAATGTATTCAGCCACCTATTCAGGATCTTTTTAATATTTATACAGAATATATTCATCATTTATTGTTATTATATATTCAGCATTTATTCAAAACAAATTCGGCATCTATCTATTCAGTATATATTCATGACATTATAATTTATTCAGCATCAATTAAATTAAAATTATAAATCAATTCAGCATCTATTGAATATATTTTTAATTCTATTTAGTATTCATTCAACATTTATTCAATCTTCATCATTTATTCAGCAAATATTTAGCATACATTCAGCTCATATTCAGCTCATATTCAGCTCACATTCACCATATATTCAGGATCTATTTAGCATTTAATAAGACATATATTCTTTATTTGTTCAGCATTTTTAAAATAACGCTCAGAAACTAACTAGAAAGGAAGCTAATTTTGGGAACCCAAAATTTCTAAATGGGGAAAATTTTTACAGGAAAAATTGATCATAACTAAGCCAAAAATGCATTAATTTCCAATTGGAAAACGTTTCCATGCTAGTTTTTAATAGGTTAATAAATCTGCATATTAAATTTAAAATTTTTAAATTTGAAATTTTTCTCGAAATTTTTGTTGAAAAAAATAACGATGTAACCCCTTATAAAAAGACGAAAAAATTAAGTAAAATTTTTTTCCTCCCTAACATGCCTAGATCGATTCGGCTTTTAATGCTGATCAAGAATATACATGATTTATGGGGTCGGATATTACTCCTTCATATTGTAACAAGCTTCTAACTAAAATTACATTACCCTAAAAATGTATAAAAACCAAAGACTCGTATATAATTTCTTCTGACCTTTTGCTTACAAAGATTATTAGATCAAGGCAAAAACTAGTTCTAGATGAAATAATACTTCTTATCTCTCGCATTCATAGTTCAAAGTCACTGTTTTGCCAGTTTATTGTTACAGTGTCTGTATTCTTCAAATGAAAAGGATATCCTGGCGTTCTAGGCCAATGATGTTTATATTTATTTTTAGCATATAAAATGCAATTAAAATAGTGCAGAGTGATCACTATATCTTCACACATCTGTCGTGAATGCCTCAAAGTCACTGTTTTCCTGTTTTGTTGTCTGTCACTGTTTTTCTGTGATGGGAAACGGATTTCCATTGAGGGGTTTCGTATCCATTGAGGACTTTCTCTCTGTATCTCTCTCTCTCTCTCTCTTCTGGCCAATTGCCAGTCATTGTGAGTGGGTTTTCCCTCTCGCAGCTCTCCCTCCCTCGCTGTCACTGTCCATGTTCTTTTGTCGCTTAAGTACGTGACTTATGCCTCGGAAAATTACTTAACACTTGCTACTCACTCACTTGGCTCCCTCAGCTGCCGCAGTGGCTATATAGACGCCAAGCGATAAAAAGCAAAGCTCAAACTATCAGCAGCAATGTCTACAACGAGCGGCTGCTGGAGAAACGCCAAAAGTAGTGGGTATCAGAAGAGGAAAGGGGGTATGAGTATGAGTATGGGTATGAGTATGGGTATGAGCATGAGTATGGGTATGAGCATGGGTATGGGTATAGCAATGGGTATGAGTATGGAGTATGGAGTATGGATATGGAATAGGGGGTTGTCGGCTCAGCTTTTGATTGCCAAGCAACATTAGCCATGTTGTTGCTACTCAACTACTTGCTGCTGTTGGAACGGAAATGTGTAACGTGTTTGAATGGTGATCGGGATTAGTATGAAAGGAAAGGGAAGGGAAGGGAGGTTGGATTATAACGCAGCTGTTGTGCATTGGTAATCGGCAATTGGCTAATCGTGAAATCACAGAATCTCGCCATATCTTGCAATATCATTCATTCATGAGCGGACGTTCCACGGTGGCACGTTCCACCAATGGTCAACAAGAAGTGATCGTTGGCCAACGATAATAAGCCTACACACTTTTATGGCTGAGATTCTGCAGCTGAAACTCTCATATTTATAATCTGCACTCGGCCAAGATCACTTCAAATGTCTTCTGATGAGGTTAGCCCTAGGTTCTCATACTAGTTTTTCGATTTTTTATAGACTTTTGTCTAAAAGTTAAGAGTTACTTAAGCTTTAAACTTCTTTCTATAATTTACTGTTAAATTTGAAGGGTATAGATATTATTTAAGAGGAATTTTTGCTTCAGTACATGTTTATTCCAAAATATATTTCATGAAAATGTATGGTAATAATTAATATCAAGCCAAAATTAGCAAGAACTAGTTTATATTAGAATCAAATTCGGATTTTAAAAGTCAAAATAGATAAATATTGATTATCATTACACTTTACTTCATTTGAAATATGATTTTCCCAATACTCTCATTCAAAAAACAAATAAACTAATGCTTAAGTTTATCAATTAACTAACTAAAGTTGATTTTAACTCAATTTTAATATATGGAAATCCAGAATAAAGCCCATACTAGTGGTTAAATATGTTACGGGGTCTTTTCCCCCTTTCCCTAGTACAAAAAAAAAACGAATAAATAAATCAATTTATTGCTAATCTCACTCATATATTTCCATTGCAGATCAACCTAAGGGGTATCTTTGCGGCCGGAGCTGCCAGCGGCGGAGGAGCAGGCGGAGGTGGTGGTGTGACGACTGCTGGCTTCGTGGCTGGCGGGGATTGCCCGGTAATTGGTGGCGTTGCTGGTGCTGGCGCTGGCGTCAAGCTGCGCCGAAACAGTGATCGCCCATTGACCACGACCACATCAACGACGACACCGTCGCACACTTACCGCATTTCCATGGCCAATCTGGAGGATACGCAGGAATCGGAGCTGGATCAGATCCTGGGTGAACTGAGCCAGCTGGAGGAGCAAATAAGCGATGCCCAGGCATCTTTTTTGCATCCCAGTGTGGGATCAGCAGCAGCAGCAGCAGCACCACTGCCACCAGGAATGGGAGCTGTCCCGCATCCACCTAGCCATGCCTCCATGTCGGCGGCCTCGTCGCGCTCTCATTCTCGCACCAATAGCAGCATTTCCGCGGACGTAAGCAGCTGCTCCTCATCTGGAATCTCGGAGAATGGTCACGGTATGGGCCTGGGCCTGGGACCGCCTGGTAATATGCATCCGCCACCGCCGCCGCCACCATCGCAACTGCCGCTGGCCGGTGGCATGACTACGGGCATCACGCTGGGCGTGGTGACATCCCGAGAGCCACGCACCGAATCCCCGGACAATGATTCGGCTTTCAGTGACACAGTTTCGCTGCTGTTCAGCGACACGGCCTCGCTGCTGTCCAGCGAATCGTCGGCCTCTTCGAACACATCCCTGCAACAGCAGCAGCTGCAGCAACAGCAGCAGCAGCAGCAGCATCAACAACAGCAGCAGCAAAAGCAGCTGGCCGCCTATGGAAAGGTGAGTCAACAGCATGGCGGTCAGCAGAGCAACGGTGGCAATGGCAACAACTCCAAGGCGGCCAAGATCCAGCTGGCGCTCCACAAGCTCGAGAGTGCATCCATTCGGCGTCTATTTGTCAAGGCCTTCACAGCCGATGGGGCCTCCAAATCGCTGCTGGTGGATGAGCGTATGGTATGCGGTCAGGTAACGCGTCTGCTGGCGGATAAGAATCATGTGGTGATGCAACCTAATTGGGCACTGGTGGAGCATCTGGGTGATCTTCAAATGGGTGAGTCTTTAAACCATGAAGTTGATTTACTAGTATCCTTACTAATCCCTAATTTCTCATTCCCACAGAGCGCCTCTTCGAGGACCATGAGCTGCTGGTGGATAATTTGATAGCCTGGAATTCGGACGCCGGCAACCGTGTGCTCTTCCAGCAGCGCCCTGACAAGCTGGCTCTATTCGCCCGCCCTGAGCTGTACTTGCCGGGGCCACAGATGGCACCCGGTTGCCAGCACGATGAGCAGACGCGTCAAATGCTGCTGGATGAATATTTCAAATCGCCTGTGCAGCTGCAGCTGGATGGACCGCTCTACATGAAAGCAGATCCCAAGAAGGGCTGGAAACGCTACCATTTTGTCCTACGCTCCTCGGGCCTGTATTACTTTGCCAAGGAGAAGAGCAAGAATACCCGTGACCTGGCCTGCCTCACGCTCTTCCACGGGCACAACGTCTACACGGGCCTGGGATGGCGCAAGAAATGGAAATCACCGACGGATTTTACCTTTGGCTTCAAATCGGCAGTGGATTCCTCGCTGGGCAAATCGTGTCGCTCCCTCAAAATGCTCTGTGCCGAGGATATGGCCACGCTGGATCGCTGGCTGACGGCCATACGTGTGTGCAAATATGGAAAGCAGCTGTGGCACAGCCACAAGCTACTCCTGGAGGATCTCTGCCTGGGCCCCGACGATGCCGTCTCTCAGTCGAGCTTTGCCACATCGATGCGCAGCGAGTCGATTTCGAGCATCTCATCGGCAGTGCCGTCGCAATGCGGCAGCGTATCCTCGGCCATTAGCAGCATGTCCAATTCGACCAGTGGCCGCACCTCACGCGCCTCCAGCAGCAGCTCCAGCGGCTGCCTTTCGGACGACAACAACGGCTTTGATTCGGAGTTCACCACAGGGACGATTAAGCGCAAGCCCTCGATGAAACCCAACCTCCCGCTGACCACAATGACACGCCAGCTAAAGGAGGTGGGTGAGATCACCATTTGCGAGAGCACCGGTGGCGAGGCCAGCTCGCCGGAACGCAGTGGCACCCTGACGCGTCGACATAGCCGCCGCAAATCGCAGGAGAGCAATGGCAGTGGAACGCTAAAGCGCCGGCCAGTTCCCAATGCCGCCGTTATTAAGCAGGCATCGGAGCAAGCAGTTGTGGGAGGCAGTGCCTCCTCCAACTCATCGAGCAGCAATTCGACGCCCACGCCGACGCCCAGCATTTGTGCCAAGCCGCCGCCAGGCGATGCCTCCGCTGCTGCTGCTGCTGCCGCTTCGCTGATGTGCTCATCCACGCTTTCGCTGGATTCGCTGCCACCGCCACCGCCGCCACCCGCCTTTGAGGGGCCCGATGATCAGGATGTGTATGGATCCCAGCTATCACTGGCCTCACTGCCACCACCGCCACCACCGGAGGAGGTGCTGGCCATGACCTATGCAGGTCCGCCTAGCCCGGTCACACCCACACCGATGAGCACACCACTAATGGCTATGCCGAATAGGAATGGATCCCTGCCACCGGCAGTGCCAGCCAAGCCTATTAAGCCGGCTGTGAAGCAGCCAGCGGGAGCCCTGAAGGCAGCACCACCGTACAAGGCACCGCCCGATTATGTGGGCCCTGCCCAGCAGCAGGCAGGACCGCCGCTGCCGCCGCCACCTGCTCAAAAGAAGGTTTCGTTTGCCGATTCGCCGGTCCTGCTGCGCCGTAAAATGTGCTCGCCGGAACCAGTGCTGCCGCAGCGCTCACCGAGCACCGTGCTCAACTGCAATTCGGTATCCAGCACTGGATCGGGTTCGGCTTATCAGACCTATGCACCCGGACCAATGCTGCCACCGCGCACTGATTTGGCACGGCTGTCCAGCCAGAGCAACGGGAGCAGCAGCAGCGAGGTGACCTCGCCGAAGCGTCTGCAGGAGAGTGCGTCGAATCCGCCCCGTGACTTCCTCAAGGATCTGCAGCGCGTAATGCGCAAAAAGTGGCAGGTGGCACAGAAATGCAAGCTGGAGCCGGCCACTACGCCGCATGAGGTGCTTGGCTTCAGGGATTTCAGTAACGAGGATCTGCTGGCCGCCCACAACCTCAATTCGGGGGCCAATTCCTCGCACTACTACCGCGAGACGGCCAATGTGAGCCACTGGGTGCGGGAGCACTACGAATATGCCCACAATGCGCTCTACGAGAATGTGCACGCCCAGACGAATGGCGGCGGGAATGGTGGCGGAGCTGTAGGTTCTTCCCCTGGCCTTCCCCTGACAGGTGGTTCTGTGCCAGATGGAGGGGCCACTCCTCCACTGCCGCCACCGCCGGCGGGATCGGCCAAAAAGCGTCCGCCACCGCCGCCACCCAAACGAAGTGATAAAACTCACTTAACCAATCGGGTCTAGTGACTGTAGAGTAAGTCTAGCAGGGAATCCTATTCATATCTTACTTTCCCGAGACTAATTTTTGCTTTCTTTCTTTCAGGTGATCCATTGTGCACAGGATGCGAGGAAGGATCAAACGATCGATCTCCCTGCTGGGAGCAGCAATTTTCAAAGCAAACAAATTCCTATTAAAGCAGCATGCCAGGTTAGAAATATATACGTATATATATATTTGCTAAATGCTATGGCCACGCCCACTTCTCTTACACAAGTATTATATATAAATGAGAGAATCATCCGAAAAGCGAAATGGAAAAGGAATTCATCAGTTCATACATACAATATTTATATGCATTAGTAAAAATATTTAAGCTAAATTTTAGATTGTAAAAAGCGAGAGAAGAGTATACATTTTTTTTTAAATTAACGATAGGGCATTATTTTAAACAAAAGTAAATTAGCGTCAAATAAGTGTAAAATGTTTTTTTTTTAATATCTTTCACTTGATTTTATAATTTCTAATCTAATTTCAACTTTTTTTTAGTTTTTTGCGATTATTTTTTTTTGTAATTGTAGTACACGTTTTATGAGCGCATGAAATGCGCTGAGCTAGCAAAGGAAAAGCCTTATAAACTATATATATATTTATATAAAAAATCCTAAAAAGGGAATGCTTATCATACACGTGTGTATGTGTGTTGATCTTTAAAAATTATTTGCTTATAGTATGCTCTTTAGTTACCCGCCCAAAAATTGTAAACCCCCCTTTCAATTGAGATGAGAAAATCCCCCAGAAAGTTTTGTAAAGTTCCTCAAATAGTTGTCTTGCTCTTTGTACTTATACCACAGATCGAACGAACAAACATTCAGCCATAACATCAATTTAGATTTTCCCAAAAAAACCCATATACATCATGTTTGTATAATGCTAAATCGATAATGTGCATGATGCACATAACGATAACTATTTGTATTAAAGGCAATAAGCGCCATGGGATTTATTTCTGTACACAAATCAAATATGTAATAAGAATTAAGTGTAATAATCTATATATTTAAATATTTCAAATGTATAATTTTGCTAGATTTCATTGCGCGATTTTCAGTTAAAAGCATTATGCGTTAAGCGTTCCTAGATGTTCAATTTAAAAAAGCGAATGTATATCAAGCGGCTAAACTTGTTTATTTGGGGACCAACTCGTAATCCCCGAAGGTGCAACAATCAAAATAATTTTTGTTTTTAGACCAAATGATCGATCCTTGAGAGTTTACTGTATTTGCATTAGGGATACCACAAAATATCGAGTGTAATATTAATAATTATAATATTAAATGCAAAGTCCGATATATAAATCGATATTTTAACTATTTCATATATGATTTGTGCGATAAATTGATAGTTGGTACGACAATTGCTATATTTTTGAATGTTTCAAATATATAAATCTATATTTTGATATTTCGATATATGTTATGCGCGATAATATTGGTATTTTATAGCCAAATGCGATTTTATTCAATATTTTAAACTTCGCTATAAAAGTTTTCAATATATTTTAAAGTTAAATACTATTATTTTTGATATTTAAATTTTCTATAAGACATGATATGATATTTTTAAAATTATATCGATATATCATAACGGACATTTCCCATCGATATTAATCCCTAATTGGCATCAACTGAAACTCGTCCATAGATCATATTTCTATCAATTTTTGTGTAGTAACTTGTTTGCCATTTGTTTTGTGTATGTTTTTGTGTACAGCCAGAGACAGCCATATAAATATATATATATAAATATAAATAAATAGAAGCGTACATATATACAGGTGCCCATTGATCGATTCATTTATCTTTTGGCACTTGCATATATATATTAGCTCCACATAAAGTTTTGTTACGTTTATATATCGAATAGTGATCGATAATCAATCGATTTATAACCTTCGCCTTTTCTCTCTGTCCGAACGAAACATGTTCGCCGCCCCAAAGATTTACCCCCTCCTCGTATGCTTGTTTTTGTTTCTCATCCTTTGTCAAAACACACAACATCCATATATATATATAGTATATATAAATATATATATAGTATATATAATATATATATAGTATATATAAATATATATATAGTATATATAAATATATATATAGTATATATAAATATATATATAGTATATATAAATATATATATAGTATATATAAATATATATAGTATATATAAATATATATATATACGATAAATATGATAGATATTCATGTTTTTGAGAATAAATAAATAAATCTAGAATTGTGTTTAATATGGTTAATTCGCATCTTACTTTCCTACTATACAATACAAAACTAAAGGGTATTATGCATATAGAGATATAGATCTAGATCTAGGAATATAAACATAACTAAACTAAAGGAAATGCCAATTTTTTAAAGCTTGAATTTATATGAACATATGAAGATATTTTTTAGAAACTATACGCTATCTATATATGGTAGGAACACAAGGATGTGCCATAGGCGCCGTCGTCGTGAAATGAAAATTTAAAAACAAAATAAAAAGGACAACTTTTCTACATTTTTGCTAATTGAATGTACTAAAATCGAAAGGAATCTAGCGATTAAGTCAAAGAAAACATAAATAAAGTGCAAGCTAAAGAAAAATATATATATACATACAAATATGTATTTAAAGGCAATGGAAAGTGAAATCTAGAAAGCTTGAAAATATTTAAGAAGAGTTTTAACAATCATTTTGTTTGCCATCTTTTACATATTATTTTTGGTTTAATTTGTTTCGTTCGTTTTTGCTTAAATATTTAAATATCCGTGTATAAACCTAACTAAATGAATAAAAAAGCGAAAGAAGGGGGAATAAGGTAATAAATGTTCAACTATTCAAAGGACACGAAATCAAACAGAATGCCAGAATCCTAATTATATAAAATAAGGAAACTCGAATTGCAGACACGCAGACACAGCTTAAACTGAATGAAAAGACTACAATTGCAGGAGAACAAATTAAAAGTAAATCCATTATTATATATGTATATCGCAACACACCTTTGAACATCATTCATTATGCATTAACTACAAATTTACAAATACAGCAAGAGGAAACTACAGCCACTAACTAAACCGAATAAAAAACAACAACAAAGTAAATTACAATTTAAGCTAAATAAACAACAAAAACAAAACTTATAATGAAAAAAATCAAGAAATTCTTTGCAGGTCTATTATATAGTGAACAATGTTGCCATTTGATACGATTTTTCCACAAATAAAAACACACACATTTGATAAAATATATATATTACTATATATACCTTATATTCCGAATCGAGTGGAATTTTTTGTAATTTTGATAGAAACATTCAAAACATATAAAAAAAAAAACGAATAATAACAACAAACAACAAAAAACTGTGCGAAAGAAACGTGTTATGAAAAACTATGAGAAATAAATGCGAGAAATGCCTAAGAAAAATTGAAATCAAAATTAAATTTGCAGTTTTTATTAATTATTAATATTTAACTTAATTGGGGAAAACCTAGAAGCTTATAAAATGGCGTAGCTTTACTTGTACATTCCAGGTGAAGCATGAAAGATGTGTTGAAAAGATCCTTTCGAAAGGGAAACCATTTTAAAAAGCTATAAGAGAGAAAAAGTGCTCACTTATTTAAAAAGAGAGAAAGATTGATATTGAGAGATTCTTTAATTCCCAATTTGGGGGATTTTTGGGGGAAAAACACCTTTTCATGATCCATTTTCCCAATTCATAAAAGGTACATATTTTGGTACAGTTAAGAAAATATTCTATATGAGAATAAATGCCCAGAGTCCTTTTTAAATAGACTGAATCCTATGAAATCTGTAACCCTATGATCTTCTAAAGATTCTAAGATTCTATGAAGACTCGCAAAAGTTCCCTTATCCCAAAATTGTGACTAAAACATAAAATGTTTAGAGATGTTTCGATGCCCGCGGGTTACATGTCCTTGCCACCTTTTTTTTGGCACCCAGACAGACCCGTAAATCATATTACTGCCCTATCCATCCAATCCAATCCATCGTCTCCTGTGTGGACCTTACGCCAATTGAACTTTTGCACGCCTGCAGTTTCCATGAAGGAAGGAAGCTGGCAGCCTGGAAGCCGGGGTGCGTGTTAACCCTTGCGGCACTCAGAGCTGCTTTCCCCCAAAATCCTTAGCATCACATATTCCATTGCTGGACCTTCTGGTTCCTCGTCTATAATATTTATTTGCCTATGTACACGCACGAAGGACTCGCTGGAAGCGAGAAGGAGTTGGCTGTGGACAGGGGCTAATGGTTAAGGAGGATATTCGAAGAGGAGGAAGGATGTAGGAGGTGTGGCACGAGGGGAACGAACGTGCCAGCATATGCAACCGAATGTGGCAATGGCTTCATACACTCTCCATGCAGGGACAGGGGTCTTCCCAATTGGAGATACCGTGGAGAGAAGTCTTAAATAAATAATCTGTATATTACATTTAAAAATATAAACTATAACTTCCTTTTCTAATTTTTTGATAATTTTGAAATTGACTTAAATTTGTTTAAATATTTATACTCTTGTAAGGGTATTATAATTTTAGTCGGAAGCTTAAAACTTAGTGAAGGAATCATTTCCGACCCTATAAATCATATATATTCTTGATCAGTATCAACAGCCGAATCGATCTAGTTATGTCTAGCAAAAATTTAATTTTTTCAAAATATTGAAAATTTTATAAGGGGTTACATCGTTAAAATTGTCTAAAATTGGGGAAAAAAATTTAATTTTTTGATATTTTAAATTGAGTATGCAGATTTGTTATCCTTATAAAAACTAACATAAAACAGCTTTCCGAATTAAGATTAATGCTTTTTTGACTGAGTTATGATTCTTTTAAATATCGATTTCTTGAAGAAATTCTCATATACAAATCTTGATAAATATGGAGTATTTGAGTATACGCATTTGATTGCAATTTTTGATTTGAGAATAATTTACAATTAGATTGAAAAAAAAAACATATAAACATATTTCTATCTAAACGGATTTAAAATTAATATATTTCGATAGACAAAGCAAAATTAAGCCATCATTATATTATATCATTATAAATCATAATCAAATTGAATTTATTATAAACCTAAAACAATCTTAATTAGGAAAGCTTTTCTGTGCTAGTTTTTATAGGGTTTATAAATCTGTCAAATTTATTTATAAAAATTTATCGGTATTTTTATAATATAATAATATATTTTGGACAAATCAATTTCTCAAGGATTTTTGCACAACAAAAATAAGAAGATATGTATCATATGTATATTAATACTATTTATACTATATAAAAAATACTACTACTACTATATAATATATCCCACATATACCTTAACCTTCTGCATTGCCCCATTTCTGTGGATTACTTCCACTTGTCCCACTGTTCCCAAT